ACAGCTATCTGTAGGATATCTTGCATTTCTGATGGATTCTCCCCAAATATATTGATCAGAGTCAAGTTTGCAAGTCCAATGACAAAGGTAGCTAACTCATTGTCCCAATTCTGGGAYTTGTTGCTGAGTTCTGGGGCCCGAAGTCCTTCTGTGTCTACAACAAGCAAAAAATCAAAGCCAAGTTCCTCTGTGGATGACTCATCCACCTTTAGGAGCTGCATGTAGGCCCCCTTGGTACACCTGCCTGCACTTACAGTGAACTGCAGCCCAAAAAGGGCATTCATCAGAGTGGACTTTCCAGAGCTCTGTAGGCCAAGGACAGAGAGAACAAAGAGCCGTTTGTCTCCAAGTTTCTCAGAGAGTTTGTCAAGAATAGCTGCCACCCACTTTAGGGGCACATAGGAAGCATCTCCGTCCATCAGTTCTATGGGGACACCAGCTATCATCAGGTCTGCAGCAATTTGGGGAAGGGAGAGAAAAATTGTCTCTCTTTTGGCAGAAGTTTCTTCCAGAGCTTCATARATCTGGCCAACTTCTCTGAGAAACTGCTCAATTCCCAAGGTACAGTCAGTAATCTCAGTAGATATGGCTTCTATTTTATTTTGCCAGARTTTTAAGTTGCTGGTTTGGGATTTTTGCTTTTCTGTTTTCACAATTGACCACAAATGAGTTAGTTTTTCATGCAAGTTTTCCAAATGCTCTGCAGTCAGGCTATCCAAAAACACACTCATCCATTGCAAGAAACAGAGTATAGTGTGAGTTTCTGAATATTCATGGAGAATTTGAAGGACAAATCCCATTATATTTTTAAGAGGAAAGGCTCTTGTCAACTGCTGATGTCGTATTATTTGTTTATCTGCCTCAACATCACTCTTGTGTTGTTCAATGCTTCTATTCCCCTTTTCTCTCAAATGATATAGTTCTTTGTCCTTCTTACACCAAAGATGCCATAGTTGTCCCTGAAGGGGTAGAAATTTTTCCTTCATCTGAGACAACTCTGTTTCTTTTAGGAGGTCCATGATAGTCTCAGCCTTTTGTTTGGCTTCCTTGCAATTTTTCTGGTCTTCATCAATAAGAAATCCTTGCTGGCGAGCAATTGGAGAGCAGTGCTCCATGCTGAGAGCAGTGTCACAGAGCTCTAGCAAACGTCTGATGGTAGTTATCAGCTCCTCCGTCAATTCTGCCTCATTTCTATTCCT